ACCTTTTTATTACATCTGTTAGTGAATACAAATCCAACCTTTTACTCACCTCATCTCTGAGATTCTGTTAAGACTCCTGTATTTGACTAGAACTAAATTCTCTCTGAACATCCTGTTCACACACTCACACCACAGTAATGAACCCTGACACGTGATGCTGACTCAGTTCTGCACTAATCTGTGCACTACGGAATCAGACTTTTAAACCTCACTATAGACACATTAACATGTACGCTACATTTCCATACCATGTATTCCATATTGGACGCTGGTGGATAAACTTGACCTCGGAGTTTGTTGTGCAGGTCCAGGATGGCTTGTTTATCGATGGCGCTGATTGCCCGCTTCCCTCTCGGTTTTGCTACATTTTCATCAGCATATTTTTCCAAGAGAGAGCTCAGCTCTGTGGCGTTAAAGAGAGTCATGGAGAAAGCGCTCTGGGATAAAAATATTAGAGTAAGTCCTCTTAGCCATGTGCGAGTCATGGTGACGTGACCTTTGACGTTCAGGAGATGGAACTTTGGATAACAGCGTCTCAGTGTCTGTGGGCAAGAACAGGGAGATTAGAGCACCTCAAGACCAGGGGTATATGGAAATATGGAAGCTTTTGAGAGCAGTATTAGTAATGATTGAGGGGTTTACAGTCTAAAATTAACAGTTTATTTCAATTTACATAATAGTTTCCTCCTTATAAAAAATTGCAACTTATATTGATTGGTAGAATGGATTTATTTTTGAATCTAGGTAAAATAATATTAGCTTATGCTGAGTAGTAAGTACACTTAGAGCTGAGCTGCAATCAAGGTACCTTGCAAAAAAGTGTGTTGTGCGGCTTCTGATTTTCTTTCATTAAAATTACACATTCATTCACCAACTTCAAGACTCTTATTGTAAATGGAGTACAAATTAGTACCCCAGCTACAACACACCCCAGCTTCTCCAGAAGGAATTTTAGTTAAGGAGCAGGCTATGTGAAAAGTGATGAATGTGCAATTTCAGCTAAATATTTGAACCGGAAAGTTAGAAAGGTTATAGTGTGACAAATGAAATTGTTCACAGGTTCAGCAGGCATAAAAACAATTTTTATAAAAGCATATTGAGGTTTAAAGTTAAAAATTGCATTTGTATTTGAATGCTGCTTTAAGAAATATATATATATATATTAACATTAAACTATATACGTACATATAGGATCTCCTCGGATCTTCTCCAGCAGGTTAAAAGCACTCATTCAGCTCCTAAGTGAGATTGATGTGATTAACAAGATTTCTGAGAGCAACGTTAAACTGTACATCCAAGATGTGAATGAACTTCTCTTCAGTCTCCTCTGGTTCACTAATGCAGCTCCACACCAGGTTTGGATTTATGCTGAATTCAGCTTCTGGTGTCGAATATCATGTGGAAAACACACCTCTATATCCAACCCATTCAGAGTTTAGCTGGACTTAGAACTGGAAATGGTTTGTGTGTGTGTGTGTGTGTGTGTGAGCATGTTTTAATATCTTCATGAGCCCAAATGTCCCCACAAGTTCAAAATGGTCAGATTTCTCATGTCTATCCTTGTGGGGACATTTGGGCTGGTCCCTATGAGGAAAACTTTTGTTTTACTTTATTTTGTTTTTTATTTATTTTAAAAATTTAAAAACTAGAAGCTTTTCTTTTGGTTATAAAGGTTAGGGTTAAGGTTAGATTTCGGTGTAGAATAGTATTAATGCATTAGCTGCATTAATAATAATGTCTGTGGAAGGTCCTCAAAAAGAGAAAGAGAGTGAGTGTGTGTGTGTGTGTGTGTGTGTGTGTGTGTGTGTGTGTGTGTGTGTGGTTTTGGATTTATGCCACCCCGTTCTTGTCCTTGTTAGTGAAAAGATGAGTTGACACTTTTTGCTTTGAAAGATTCCAGTAATGTGAATGCCTATTTTAAAAAATGGAATGAAAGTGGGAAAAAAATGGAGACATTAATACAAATAAAGGTGATGATGACTTTCCAGCCTCAAGTTCTGAATGTGTTCATTTTGTATGTACACACATGCATAACAAAATTCAGCCATAACTGAAACTGTGTAATGATCTGAGGCTTTGCTTTGTTTTAAAAATGGAAACTTTAAAATGGTCACTCTTTCCCACTGCTAAACGTTTCCGCCTAATCAGAATCAAGCCAAACCTGAGCAGCACCATTGCTCCAAACAAAGAACAGCTACCCGTTTATATTTATTTTTAGACAGGCAGGTCTTGGAAATGTTTAAGTGCGAGAGCTCTGCTCATTGATTACATTCTGCAGTTCAGCCTAACACTAACAAATCTGTGAAATTAGCACGCTCTGGTCGCCTGTGCCATGTGCACAATTCACAAAAGTGCCAATCTAGGGCAGGCACGTTTATAGTCTTGATTCAAACATAGAACTCATATTCATAACTCTTTTGAATCATGACCACGATTCGTAATTTCCGTATACAATATGTACGTCATCAGCTACTTGGCTTTAGTCTTTTAACAAATACCCAATCTGGATGAAAAGCTAATGTACTAAGTGTTTCCTTACCTCAAAAATAGCATTTTAATTGATCTTTCTGTTTTTTATTGCTTACGAGTTCTGGAAGTCTATCTCAAACAAATTTAAATAATAGGTTCCCAACTCATCATACTCTATACCATGAACGTATGCAATCTCAGTATATATCAGCTTGTGCTTCCTCCAAGATACATGAAGCCAGCCAACTGCATCTTTTCGAACTGCTGCTCATGCTGCATCACAGGGCAGTGTAACAGACTATCTGCCTCCTTTTGCATACATGAGCTCACAGACATCATTGTTTTGCTACCGTTGCTGTGATTGACAAGGGAGAGATGGCATGCCATCAATTTTACCCAGACAGTGCAGCCAATTTTACTCAAATTTTTCACACAAAAAAAAATGTCTCAGGCACCTCCTAATATATTTACTTACTTACTTATTAAGTTACTTATTTGTTTTATTATATGATTAGTGCAAATTTTCAGATTTTTCAAAATATTACAGAGATTGTTTGTGTATCATCAAATAAGGTAACAGACCACTGTTTAGATCAAATTATTCCTTGGATATTACCTTAAGGGACAGATGCAAGTGAGAGAGAGAGAGCACGTTTGTAACTTCAAAATAGTGTACTTCAAATAACCGGTGCAAATTTAAAGGCAAAGTATAGACACACAATTTGAATTCGTTATTTCTCAAGTATTTTGTGTACTTGATCTGTATACATTATCATTTATTTGAGAGTACCTTCACTTATACCACAGCTCTGTATCTATTGCATTCCAATGCCATGAAGCAAGACATTTGGTTGTGTTGGGTGTTATTCAGGTCCCGATTGAACAATGTGTTGATTTGAGGTATTTATCGCAAAATAAGTCATGCATTCATGACAAACAGTGACAGGCAGACATTATGAAGAGTTAACTCTAAAAAGCCTTGCTCATTGCTGCCCTCCTTTGTTTCTTCTAAAGCATTACAACTTTACATGAAAAGTGAAAAAGTGTTTGATGCACCCACTTTCTATTTCCCCTTCATTTGGTCTCTCTGGCCATTTTAATGGATGTCCACGCCTGAACTTACTGTACTTAGAGGAGGATTAATCATAGACTGCCTTCAAATGAAGACTAAACACCCATATCTTCTGTCTGTGCCTTCTGCATATTCATTTCTCATTTGAATATTAAAATGCAAAAACACAGAGCTTTCCATTTGTTTTTGTTTTTCTGTTACTAAATTGGAAAATAAATTCCATTTTCATACAACTTGCATGTTCCTGCATGCAAATGAGAAACAACAGGATGAATAGTGTACCATCTTCACTATAAACACTTAACTCAACTTGAAATGTACAGTTCAAAAGGTTTCCTATACTAACTCCTCGCCTACAGGATTTTGAGCTTATTAACATATTAGCATGAGTGATGAGTTTTTGATGAAGACAATCAATGATACTCTACTGGAGACAAGCATGTCTGTTAGTCACTGTGGAAAAGTGTGTCTACTAAATGCTGTAAATGTAAATGATTAAGTTGGGTATCAGTGTAGAATTCAGGAGCTTATTATAAATAGAATCCAAAATGGCAGACATAGATATTTATAAATGTAAACACCAGATCAATGTAATTTTCATCCTCCTCAAACTTTCAGAAGCCTTTGAAACGGTTAATCACAAGACTCTCTTGTCTATCCTCAGAAGTCTTAGAATTTGTGACACAGGTTGACAATGGTTTGCTTCTTACCTGGATGGATGGTCATAGGTGACATGGAGGGGATCCACATCTGCTACATGCAGACTCTTCACCGTGTCCCACAAGGCTCAGTGCTGGGTCTATACCCATTCTCATACCACTGCTATGTTGATGACACTCAACTGATGTTTTCCGTTCCTCCATCAGCCGCTGATGTTTCTGCACAGATCTTTGCATGTTTGGCAGGCATCTCATCATGAATGGCAGCTATTCAGCTGAAACTATATACCAATATTATGAGACTCCAGCCATTTCTATCCACAGAGGCCACTCAGGTGCTCGTTCAGTCACCAAGACTGCACTCCTGCAACTTGCCCCTGACAGGTCTTGCACCTGTGCACAATCTGACTTCTGCAACTAATCCATAATGAAGCTGCATGAATTGTTTTCAACCTACCTAAGTTCTCCAAACACAACCCCATTGTTATATCCATCCATCCATCTTCTACCGCTTACTCCTTCCCCATTGTTATGTTTCCTCCAAAATCCCTGATGCTTGCCTACGAATCTAAAAACAGTCCGGTGCGCACCTATATTAAAGTATGTATCACACTGCCTTCAAGCCTCTAGCATGGCTTGATTGGACCCACCATCTCTCAGGGTACAAGGAAGGCAAGAATTAAGGCTCTTCTCTGTTCTGACACCCAGGTGGTGAAATGAACTTTCCCTGGTTGTCCCAACAGCTGAGTCACTGGCTTTCAACAAACAAAGACTAAAGACCTACCTCTTCAGCAAGTTGAGGCAGTGGTGGCTCAATGGTTAAGGCTTTGGGTTACAGACCTTGGTCAGGGGTTCAAGCCCCAGCACTACCAAGCTGCCAGTGTTGGGCCCTTGAGAAAGGCCCTTAAGAATATCTGCTCCATATCATGTCTGACCCTGTGCTCTGAGATTGGATTCATAACAAGCTGGGATATGTGAAAATATGTATGTATGTGACCAGTAAAGTCTTCATTTTCTTCTTCTTATTCTTTTGTGTTTTTTCATACTGTACTAACATGAACAGAGCACTTCTGCAAGTCACTCCGGATAAGGGCATCTGCCAAGTGCCATGAAAGGTAAATGTAAATAATATGTCATAATTTAAAATGAGAAAAAAAAAATTCCCATAAGGTTGTATTCCTCCATCTGTACATAACAGCTGATAAACTGACAATAAACACTGTGTAAGTCTCCAGCAGGTCTCCACCATCCAGCGCTACAAATGCACATTCATTTGATTTAGATGCAAGGGGAAACGGACACTGAGAACATTACTGGAATGCTGACTTTCATGAAACTGCAATGCTGAACACCTTCACTGCTAATAGTAGAGATCCCTAAAACATGCCACATTCATTCATGCTAATAAAGTCAACCAGAAGTGCTGAACTGATAAGCAAGCTAGTTTCAGTGTTATGTATGAAAACAGCAGATACATTTAACTTCAAGGTGAAAAGAAAAAAGATTAAAACTACAAAAAAAAGATATATTATGTTTTAAACTTATTGCAACCAAATTCTCTTTTGGTTTAGTGGTTACTGATGAGAAGGTCAGGGGTTCAAGCCCCAGCACGTGCAGGCTCTGGGTTACTGATCAGAAGGTTGGGGGTTCAAGCTCCAGCACTGCCAAGCTGCCACTGTTGGCCCGTTGTGCAAGGCCCTTAACCATCTCTGTTCAAGGGGCACCCTATCATGGCTGACGCTGCGCTCTGACCCCGACTTCCTAGCATGCTGGGGTATGCGAAAGAAAATAATTTCACTGTAACGTATATGTGACAAATAAAGACTCATTATGTGAACATGTTATTCCAATGGGACACGTAGTATCTGGTCAAACCAACCAAAATTTCCCCAAGCATTGAAAGTTATTTTACACTCCTCCTAACCTCTAAAAGTGGTGAAAATCACCTAGATACCTTCTGCTGCACATGCACATACAGAACAACACCTGTAGGTCACCACAACAGTTGTGCGTTCCAGGGAGAGGTGTTCCGTAGGCTGGAAGACGGCAGTATTATATAGTGGAGTACAGTGGACAGCAGTAGCTCAGTGGTTAAGACATTGGATGACTGGGACTCCCTTGTCTACGCAGAGGCTATCCCATGGTTGAATCACTCCAGTGTAGCTTTGGCACTGTGCTTAGGGTTGTTTTCCTCTTGGAAGATGACCTCTGCCACAATATCAAATCGCTTCCCCTGACCAGTTTCCCAATCTTTGCTGATTAAAAACAGGTCCACAACATGATGCTACCACCATCATGCTTCACTGTGGGAATAGTATTCTCAGGTTGCTGATGTTGGGTTTCCAGCAGACTTTGTGATGCCAATCCAAAATGATCAAATATGACCAGAGGACCATTTTCAACAGTTTCAATCATTGTCAGTCTCCAACGTACATTACCTTGTGGCAAACTCAAATGTATTTATTTTTTTTCTTCTCATCATGCTGTCATAAAACCCAGCTTTGTGTAGAGTCTGGTTGAACTGTGAATAGCTTCTCCCATCTGAGCTGTGAAACTCACCACCTTCAGAGTTATTCTTGGCCTCTTGGGTGCTTCTCTGAGTAATGTTTTCCTTACCTGGTCACTGATTTTTGGTGGACAGCAAAGTTTATTGAGTTTTCTCCCCTTCAGTATTATTGGTTATTTTGTGTAGATTCATGACACATGGTGCCAATTAAGCCCATTTCAGTTTCAGGTTGAAATCCAAAATGGCTACAGGTTAAAGGTGGTGAATACTCATGCAAAGTTCTGTAAGCTCTGGTTGAATCTACATCATCAACCTGGTTAAAAACAAACATTAGATGGCTGTGAAGGATTTGCTAATATTAGAAATAAGCACAATTTCTAATGTAAATGACAAACATTATTATATATATTGTAACATAAACAGCACAACGAAACTGAACAAATTTAGACAATGGCAATACATACAGTCCTAAAAATAGAGACTACACTGCTGCTAGGCAGCTGGGAAATAAGCTAATGACTGAGGTTAGTGATCTCGTGTAGCCATTAAGCATTTTTATGAATATTGTAAAGGCACAGAGAAGGTGAAAAAAAAACAACCATTGGAAGTATAAACATTTCGCTCAAATGTGTTGGTACATTACAAATAAAATATTCTGTACAACTAAAATGACACCGTAATTAAATTTATCATCAGCTGCAAACTGAGAGTGGGTAATTCAATATGGAATCTATTCCTAAATGCTTAGTTCAGCATTAGACAAAAAAAAGAACATTATGGAGCACTTCAATGTTGTTTCTTCAACCGTGAAGGAACCGTTAGAAACACTATGTAAAGATCTCAGTTCTCAGAGTAACCAGAAAACCTTTTCAGATTTAAATCAATTCAATTCGGTTTTATTCATGTAATGCTTTTAATAATAGACAGTGTCACAAAGCAGTTCCAAAGCGATTCTGATGTAGATTTATATTCAGATACCAATTCACCTAGATGACATGAGCAAGAAACCGTGATAGGAACCAGAATCAAAAAGGGAACCAATCCTTTTTTGACACCATTAAGTGAGATAATAAACCATTAATGTTCTTAATTTGTATACTATTAAGTCAGACAAGTGTGTTGATAGAATGGCCAGGAACATGTGGTGAGTCCTGGGATGAGCACAAGAGAGTTTTCAGTAACAAATTAGTATCCAGATGAGATTATCCACTGAAGAAAGAGTGAGACTTGGCCACAAGCTGTTTTTTGGGAAGAGTAAAATCTTTAGTGTATCCATGTGGTTCAATGCACAGCAGAATGAGTCAGACCCAAGTGCTAAAGCTCAAAGCACAAATGAGTATCATGAATCAGGATGAATCAGGCTGGTCCGGAGGGTGAGACGAGCCATGACAGCAGAACTGTGTCAGTATCAGTCACCAACATCACATCAGGCACCAGGAGTACATTTATAACTCAACCATACCTGGACTATAATTGAGCTTAGTGGGGGCTCCTGATTGGCTGTCATTCATGTCAGCTGCATGGATGATGAATAAAACGTAGCCTAATTATGGCATGAGAAAGCAGAAACACAAACAAAGAACCGCATAATGTCTATATACTGACACTGATCTGCTTTCTGCATATAGGGAGATTTTTTTTGTTTCATTTTAGGCAATCTGCAAAATTTTTTTCCCAAATGTGCATATAGTCCTAAATCACATTGCCTGTTACCAATGTTTCTGGAGAGCGCTTCTTTTCCAAACTGTCTTCAATTAAAACAAATACACAAAAACAAAAGATAAAACGCTTGCAGTCTGCTGTTGGACGGGAGAACCTCAGGCACCTGACCCGGTTTTTGAAAGGAGTCGGGTGTTGCCAGAGCCAGGAAAATTATTTCAATATCGATGAGGAAATATTCTAAATAAAATCGCTGTGCAATTCAGTTGAAAAGGGTGACGCGTTCATTTTTGAGAGGATGACATACAGCCGTAGGAGTGGTGATGGCACAAATTTGTCGTTTTTTTCTTTTAAAATTGAATAAAACATAGCAGAGCATGATATCTTATTTATTTGATAGGTGGTTAAATTTTCAAACCATAACGATAACCTTTTATGAACATCATCACAGAGGAGGACAGCTGTAAAAGCGATGTTATTCATACAGCTGTTTATAGTTTCTGTTATAGCTTTTCCCTGTAAATGTCATGTTATAGGCTTACAGAGCCTAGGTTCTTGGTTTTAAGTGGAAAAATAGATAATAATACTATAAAAATTACAAGCTTTAGTTTACGCCTTTCAAGGGCTCACAAAATGCTGATGTACTGTAGCACTGTATTAAATGCTATTTTATAACCAATGCTTTTGATACAGTACTGTAAATGTAAACATTGAGAACAGTGTTGCTCTGAATTCAGTTTTAGGTTTAATATACTTGTTTTCACAGTTCAGTGTTACAAATACGGACTTCTGGTGAGATATTGTACAATGCCAGTAAATACATCTAAATGCATAAATGAATCAAGCAAACATCCAAACTTGACTGGTGTCCTGTAGCCTATATTTTTTGGTGTGTGTGTATGTGAATATGTGTGCCTGAAATTTATGGCTTTGAATAACATAGGATACCAAGATGGATTAGGGGGATCCTTGGTATTAAGTGCCTTTTGTTTTAATCCGTGCCTGAGCTCAACAGAGAGAGAACAGTTCATTTGCAAAGCTCTTATCCTACACACACACACACACACACACACACACACACACACACACACAATCACACACAATCACACACACACACACACACACACACACACACACACACGCACACACACACACACACACACACACACACACACACACTGAGCAAGTTAGCATTGGCTGCATTTCCTTTTAGATGTCCAGAATTTAGACTAATGATGGGAAGTCCATATCCACATCCAACACTGCTGACCTTTCAATGTTTATAAAAAGGCTCAGTTTTTGCTTTCCTTCCATTTTTTTCATGTTCATATTAATGTCAGCCATTAATGGAAACTACTCAGTAAAAGAGAAGCTTTGTTTTGCTCTAATGCCAGGTTGTACACTGGCAATGGAGCTTTTACATAACCGTATACTGTATGGTATATGTACATACAGTCATGTGAAAAAGCAGTACAACCCATGGAAATATAAATATATATAAAAAAAAATATTATATATATATATATATATATATATATATATATATATATATATATATATATATATATATATATATTTTTTTTCCTTACATATTTGGACAACTACTACTACTCTACTACTAATCAAAGATATAACGCAGAATTCATAGTTGAATTAATGAATGCATGCATCTGTCCAGTCCCCGAGGCAGCAAAGCAACCCCAAACC